AGTATCTACAGACTTTCAAAGGATGCTCGATCACTCTTCAACGTTATGCAAACATAAACTGTATTTTTTAAGTAGTTTTTTGTTTGTTTCTGCAGTTGAGCGCACGCCTAACAATTTGAATAAGTTTCCAATTTCAGGAATCTTCTTCCATTTCGTAAAGAAGAAACAAACTTCAATTTGACAAATGAGTAAAAGTCTATGCGAAAAGCGTTCTCATCGTTACAAACGCTATATTAAAATATATGCGGGTGGGTAAAAAATTCAATTTTGAATAATGTTACATTGCGTTGATAACACTTTATTTTCAAGACAAAATGCTGAAGATGCGGTTTTGAGTTTTTGCTTACGACTTCTTTGCTTGAAATACATATTACATAAAAAATATATTATTTTCATTTACTTGTTCATAATATGTAACTGGAATTCCCCTCCCTTTCGATAAAACGTGAAAACTTACGTATTATCTATTACAGTATGAACCTGCCTACCACCAATATTGAAACAGCGAGTCAAAGAAGCAACGTTCACAAATACACCGGTATGTACGTAAGAGGAAAAAAACAGCTAAGCGGTTAAAGAACGGATAATTGTTGAGGAAGACGATGCTGTCTCATTTCGTTCCAAAGGTGGCTAAGGACTGGAGGAAGAAATGTCAGCGACACTTCTCAGGACAGTGTCTATATATTGGTCGGCCTTGATCTCTCATCTCTCACCTCGTAAACGTCCCCATTCACGATTATCACACCAAAGTTTCTTTAAAAGCCGTATTGATAATGTCCGCATATGAGAAATATCGACATACGGCCGTGTTAACTGATTTATCTCAACCTCACTATTGCGGCTTTCTCCTGCCGTTTAAAAACCGCTCAAGACGTCAGTTTTGGACCAAACCCCAACACGACACTCCCCGCCAGCCGCTCGACCGCACTCGCGGCGTGTGCGGGCTCGGTGTCCGCCGCGGGGGGCGGGCGGGCCTTCCGCGTCGGACCCTCCGAGAGACCGATGCAGGCGGGCGAGCGCGGGGCGCGGAGCGGACGGGGCGAGCGATGCGGGCGGCCGTAGTGGCCGCGGGGCGATTTTTCAGCGGCGCCGACGCATTCAGCGGGCGACGCCATCCATAAGCCTTTTTGGCGCCTCGCGCGCTGCCGCTCCCTCCTCCTCCTCCTCCTCCTCCTCCTCCTCCTACTCCGCCGCCGCCGCCGCCACCGCGCCTGAATGCTCGCGCGCCGTGCTTTCAAGCCGTCGCGGCCGCACACACGCCCCCGCCGCAACACACTGCACGCGGCGCGTTTCTGGACGGACGAACGGGTGTTCCCAGCAGAGTCCTTCCTAATAACCCCAGCGCGAACAAGGTTCCAAGCGAAATACTTCGCGTGAGCAATGTATATGCATAATCTCTCTAAAAAGTGAATGTGTATGACTGTGTGCGTGGGGGAGGGGAGGTTGAAACGTCGCGTAATGACTTACGCATTTGCCCTTCCCTGTACGGGGCCGGGCTCCATTCCCGGTAATCCCTACGAATATGTGGTGGACAAAGAGAGATCTCGGCATGCTCTCCACCATCACAAATTTAACCAACACCTGTCAAAAATTTAAATAACACTATTAGTTCAACAAATCCAGTTTTAATGAATTATACTATGTTCTTGACGTTAGGTTATCTGACTAAAAAAATAACTTCTGCTCATGGATGAGAACGTAATGAACTAGATCTGCATAATCACACTCAAAAAGAATTAAATTGATTCGACTGTCTTCAGAGTAGTACATCAATAAGTTTATAACGACAGCAAACCTGTAACCGTTTTAACGCATTGATCACAGAGGATATCAAATGGGGGAGGCAAAATATGTCCACTAACAAATAAATAAATAAACAAATAAATAAAATGTAAACATTTCAACAAATAGTTTTGCATAGTGATACTTTATCATGCTAGTAGAAAATATTAAAAACTGTTTCCGTGGTAACGGACTGGTTGAAGTTTGATTAATGAAACAGTAGGTTTTAACGATATTATTAAAACATTAAAAATTCAGAGCAATGAATTAACAGAAGATTTTAGCTGTCATTGTTGATATAATTTAGTTAACAGAAGTTTCTTTTGAAGAGAGTTATAAGTAATGTAAGGGGTAAGTAATAAGAGAAATAATAAGTAGTGTTTGACAGATGAACATTCAGAACTCACGTGGCGGGTTTACCTCTTTTGAAGCATTTCATGAAACACTGTTACGACGAAGATAAGTGCACAAATTGTTTTCCGGCCCGCTGTAGCACCTGAGTCGATCGTTAAAAACTTTACATTAAAATTAGCATTTTAAGGAAATTTAGTCTACTTTCATTTTGAATGTCATGATATTTTCGATAAAACATAGTTTTTTTACATATAAACGAAAAGAGTGCAATATTTTTAGATTATTTTGTTGCATCTTTCTTCTGTGAAGCCGACATTTCTCGACGCGGTAAACCTCAAATTCTAATTCAGCACCCCCCAAAAATTTGAAACCGGCGAGGAAATTACTTCCAGAATATTTTCCTGAACCAGGCGTTTTTGTATACACTTAAATGGATTATAAACAGTTTTGGTTGTCATCATTATATTTTATTAACCGTTTTTATAACATTCGCCTGTCTGTTGCAAAAAAGTGTGGTCTATATAACGGAAAGAAATGCATATCATCAGGAATATATTTGGACGAATTGATTGATTAATGAGTGTTTCCGGTTAAATTGATTTAGATTGTGCTCTCTTACGGATTGAATGTTTTTTATTCCGTTGTTATATAAGATCTTATATAGATATATAAAATAAATGGTTGTATTAATAAATAAATAGTATACCCTTCGTGAAGAAACTATTATTACAAATTGAATGTGTCGCCTGATAAAGCCATTAGTCCCGTGAGTATAGCTCATGTTTCATCGCGGGAGATGGCGGTGATCGTCTTTCCTTTGGCGAGATTCGGCGCCGACCTACACGTTGGCTGGCGCGGGTTTCCCCGACACAGGTACCGTAACACATCTACTACCAGCTGGCACCGCCGGAGTCGCGGCAAGCTCTAAGCTGCGGACTCGTCTCCCGGCATGTATGTCCCGGCTGTGTAGCGAATATAAGTGTGTGTATAAGAAACGGTGATAATAGAACAAGAGGAATGATCGCGCGCGGACCTTGGCCGTGTGTTAAGGTATTGGTCCGGCATTCCCCTGGCATTGATCGGAGATACCACCGAAAACGACTGACCAGAGCAGCAGGCTGCTAGAATTCTCCTCCAGAAAAGAGCCTGAATTCGATCTAGCTAGTGCCGAAAATTCTGTTACCGTCGAGAATGGAACCCTAGAACCTCCCGCTTAGAGGCTTTGCACTAACATTAAATGAATGCCTGAGCCACCCAAACAGATTATAGGCACTGCATTAACATTAAGTGAATGCCTGAGCCACCTAAACCGATTATAAGCACTGCACTAACGTTAAATGACGGCCCAAGCCACCTAAACCGGCATTTTTGGAGGACATTTAGAAACATTTGCCCTGATGGATTGGCGTTTCGCCGCCGCCCGCGCCCGCCAGCTCGTTAGGGCGAGGGGCGGGCGCGGGCGTCGACAGCGCGCGTCGCCGCGTCCGAAGGGGGCCGCGCCACCGGTGACACCTTCATTAGCAAGCGGCCGAGCAGCGCTGCACTGAGAGCGGCCAAGAAAAGGGCGCGCGGCCACAGACAGCGTACGGCCGCGGCCGGGTGGCAGCGGAAGAGGAATGCGTGTGCGGTCGGCTGCCTGAGCCTTAGCGCCTTAGCCCCGGGTCGTTCACCCGGTCATCGCACCCTCTAACGTCGTTGCGAAGAGGAGGCACCGCAGGGCTTTGTGGCGTCGACAATTACAGCCGACAGGGAAAACACGGAACTCACAACCGTGTTAGAGTTTTGGAGAAATCGTCTCCAATTGTCCGCGTGCTGACGACGAGTACTGGCTTATTGATGATACATTTTGCACACCTATCGATTCGACTCGATGATGTTCTCTACACACTAGTAAATTATTTTTAAAATTCTCTGGCACCATGTTGCCGCTTACGTTCTGAGAGATGGGGAGTGCTCTTCTCTTTTGCCAATGTAGGCGAAGACCTCCGCTTTGATGCTCACGCACTTCCTCGTCAAGTTTTCGGGGAGGTGATTTGTCTTAGCATCTACCGACCATTAAAATGAATCGTGATTGATGACGAGAAAGACGAATGTTTATGTTCAGGTAGATGGTTCAAGCGTTTTAAATGTTATTGTGAGAAGCCAACTGCGCCAAAACTATGTTGTTGAAACACCCTTGCTTTATTGGAATTTGAACCCACAGCGTTTGGTTTCGGGTACTTCGATCGACTGCTTACGCTGTTCTAAGCCCATGCTCCTTCGACAGACGATAGGAGTCAAATAAGAACTTATTGATAAACGGCGTGCCGCTCGGTGTGGAAGTGAGTGAAAAATGTATAAATTACGAAGCATCAGTTCTATGCCCATTGGGTCGATTTCTGAATGAATTTCAACTGAGAAGAATTTTTGACTTTCAGAAGTTTCCTCACTGTTCGTGCGCCCCTTACATTTGATATCGTGTAAAACCACTAAGACATTCAATCAACAATCGGGGCAACATTAAATTAACCAGAGCAAATTGGCCAACAAACGGGCTCAATACGAATAGTGGATCAGCATGATAGTATAATGCCACCAGTTCAGAATGAAAGACTTGTATGTGACATTTCCCCTCTGTAATTTTGGAGAATATTCGCCAGCTTACATCCTTCCAGGTGTTGAGGAGTGGCAAAGCGGGGGAAGGGGTGGAGCTACAACTCACCTGCGAAGAAGAGGCGCGGCGGCTGGCCGGGCGGGGCGGCGGCGTCTGCGGCGGGCCGCGCGGGGGCCGCGGGGGCCGCCCGCGCCAGCGGCGCGGCGGCGGGGCGGCGGCGGGGCGCGGGCGCGGGGGCGGGCGGCGGGCCGCCGGGCGAGGGCGGAGACACCGGCGCCGCCAGGAGTCTCGTAGTCCGCTGCCGGACGAGCCACGGCCACGAAGAGTACGACCCCGCGACCACGGGTCGGCCGCGCCAGCGGGTCACCACCGTCTCCTTTGGCTGCGACACACACATTACAGTCATGGCTTACTGGCGGCCTGTCTTCATGAAGTACCCAAGTCTAACAAATTAAATTACAGGAGAGATAAAACGTAAAAGTGTATTAAAATAATCAGAATAAACGCGAATAACATTATTATATTATTATTATTATATATTATTATTATTATTATTATTATTATTATACTATTGGATACACGGGAACAAGCAGCAACGTTTTCATCCATAAAAGTTAGATAATAAGAAGGCGTTTTAAATATGAGAGATCAGAGGAAGTGCAAACATCATATTCTGGCGTTCATGCAATTAAGAGATATACTTATAGCTCGGGATCTACTGAACTCACATGTATTTTGGAGAAAACGATATGAGTAAAGAAAATAGATCTTTTGCAGTGATGCCGATGAATCTTCAGAACTGTATAATAATATCTTAATTAAAAAAGAATGCGAACTTGAAAAAAACGCCTCCACACCACACAAATCAACAACAAAAAAAAACAAGACAAAACCAACCAATACAAAAAAAACGCCAAAAAAAAAAAAAAAAATAAACAACGCAAAAAACAAACCACAACACAACAAACCAACCCCCACGAAACAAACACCAACACAGACCCAACAAAACCAAACACAAAAACCCAAAACACAACAAACAAACAACGCCAAAAACGAAAAAAAAAAATAACAAAAACACAACAAAAAAAAAAAAACAAAAAAAACCGCAACCAAAAAACACAAAAAAAAAAAAAAAAAAAAAAAAAAAAAAAAAAAAAAAAAACAAAAAAAAAAACAAAAAAAAAAAAAAAAAAAAAAAAAAAAAAAAAAACAAAACGCAAACAAAACACACAAACGAAAAAAAAAAAAAACACAAAAAACACCCCACACCACCCCACAACACACCAAACCCAAAACAAACCCCCAACACCCCCCCCCACCCCACCCCCACCCACCCCCACCAACACCCCAAAAAAAAAAACAAACAAAAAAACAACAAAACAACAAACAAACACCCCCAACAAAACCAACAAACCAACCACACCCCAAAACAACCCAAAAAAAAACAACCAAAAACAACACCAAAAAAAAACCAAACAACCAAAAACAAACAACAAACAAAACAAACACAACAAAAAAAAAAACAAACAACCCAAAAACAAACCCAAACAAAAACACACCACAACCACCCCCAAAACACCAAAACCCCAAAAAACCACAAAACCCACACAAAAAAAACACAAAAAAAAAAAAACAACCCAAAAAAAAAAAAACAAACCACCACAAAAAACAAAACAACAACACAACACCACAACCACAACAACACAAAAAAAAAAAAACAACCAACCACACCACAAAAAAAACAACACACCCAAAAACAAACCAAAAACAAAAAACACACAAAAAAAAAAAAACAAAAAAAACAACAAAAACAAACACAAACGTATATGCCATTATGACCACGCTATACGATCAACGTGTTAATTCTTGCAGGATCAGCTTTTCAGCTGTATCCTTGGATTACAACAAGGTTGTTACGCCTTGAAGCGTGAATTATGAGATGATATGATGATAATTATAGGTGAAGGGACAATCACAAATACGACCATGTCTACGCAGGACACGAACTTGCAGCCTCCTCGGTACAGACAACGGCTGCCGCAATTATTATAGTAGTGTTGCTGTTTACGAGTATGTCACAATTACGAGGTATTCAATAAGAATTAGTATTACACATTTTTCTAATCTCATTTTTAAACATACAAACACACGTTTCCTAAAGTGCCGGAGAGATACGCAAGGATTGTTGTCAAATTTCTCAAGTCTTTCGGATTAAACAGTATTTTAATAAAGATAGCTTCAAAATATATGGAAAAAATGGTATTTACGTTTTTTTTAAAAGAAAAGTCACATCTCTCAAAGTGTTCAACACCCTGCCTGGGAATCGAGCCCGGATCTCCTAGTTTATGTCCTGTTGCTATTCCGGACTCCCGAGACCTCCAACGCTCCGAGCAGTTTCTGGCGGGTGAGCGTAAAGGAGAGAATGACCATCCTCTGATATCTCCCCCTCCACCCCCAAAAAAGAAATATGTTAATGCTACTGATTTTTTATATCGATCACTTAAAATTTCAATGAACCGGCCTTGGTCACAAACGAACATTACATCCAAAATACCCACCGGAAACCTCACCCTGAGTTCCCGCGCTCTTCGTATTGCGCTGCTTGCTATTGCGAGATGGAGGTATAAATTAGTATAGTGTATCCCACGTTTAGATTATTATAATGAGTTTTGATTAAACGAACATATAGTGAAACGTGTAGACGAGACGGCACCACCATTCTGGCTGAACTATTGTGCCTTCATTCATACTTCAGAACAACAGGCAGGGGTCATGTTAATACAATTTCCAACGCATGCTGACCTTCGAAACTATTTCATTGGTTTTGCTCTTGACGGAGAAGGTTAGAGAAAATATACAATCTTTTTTGGGGGGGAGGGAAGTTTGTAAGATTTATGGCTTTGAAATATGACTCTTAATTCCTATACTCTAGGGCGGCCTGTGGTATTGTGATCAGGCCACTCACCTTCCCTCTCACGGCATCGGAGTTCTAATTCAGGAGGATACATAAGAGGAAGGTGAGGTGGACAGCGCAGGTTCCCAGCAAATTTTCTCCGGGTCTCTCGTATCTCCTACTCCTCATTCCACCAGGCTCCATCAACGTACATATCATACCGCTAGCCATCACCCATTCGTCTCAGATATAGCAGAAAAGGCTTAGGTTCTGAGGATAAACGTAACAATACTTCAGCCACCGTAACATCTCTGCCTCTACTACTACTAATGGATATTAAAAACCTTAATTGAAAAGGAAAGTTTTCAGATTCAAGTTTCGTTTCCTTTAAAAGGCGGTTACAATCCCGTTTTACGGATTCTCTAGGAGTTAATGCACGAACGATAACAAACAGCCCTGATCACAAAATCGCGCCAACTGCTATCTACTCGTACTGGCTTGTCTCCATTTGTGGGCTGCGGGAGGAAGAGATTGTGTCAAAAGTAATTTCTCCTTGCATTAGCCCAAAACGGCAAAATGCAGTGATTGATATTTGTAAATGCTAACCATCATCCTAAGTAATCGTCAATTAAATATCAATTAATGGCCGTTACATGAAGAGTAGTTAAAAACTGACATCCAAATTAATGAATTTAAGAAAAATACATTTCCGAGCTACGAAATTGTAAAACTTTTGCGATGCTAGGTGCCATCAAATAACACTTATCTTCCATAAACTCACGGAAGTGATTAAAGGATGGCTTCTGGGTGTGCTAATGTACACAACATATCACAGTGGAACACACACATACTCGCCGTTTAAATTCGCTGAGTAACTCGAATTATTTTTTTTTTCGAGCAATGCCGGTTTAGTGGTGAGTGACCTTTTGCGAAGAATGTAGTGAAACAATTTAAAGCTATTAAAAATTTCCATTTACCCTCACGCTGCCATCTCATTAATTCGCGAACTCTCTACTTTTCACTGAGATTGAGTAACGCTTCACAATAAGATACATACAGAATCTTTAAAATCAATAATTCATAACAAGAAAATCTTCGCAAAATGCAAATGATAATGTTCTTACGCTCTCACTTTATACGGCACCAAGCTTCCACAACATTTTATATTGAGATTTAGATTAATTTGAATGACAAATGAAATTCTGCACGAGGTAGGTGGAGAACAAATCTTATTCGCTGATTTTTCATATGTTCTTAATACTGATTGTCCACCCGTCTCGAGTCCGCGCGTGGGTTACTTTACTACCTGTCACGGTGGAGATTGAAAGTGACAACGTTTTTCTAGAGACAGAAACGGCAGAGGCAACGGGGGTGTCGAAGACGTGCGTTCCTTTGAGCACGCTCCACTCACGTCAATTGTTAATTTTTATGAGACGCTACAAGCAGATTGTGTATAATCGAAAACTTATAATGTCATAATTAATTATAACATAATCAAATTTTAAAGCGCTTTTGGCAAGAGTTATGAACGAAAGTATTAAATTTCATGTGGTAACCATATGCCGTTAGGCGGGCATAATTGGGAAATGCTGGCCGTGAGGGGGTGCTTCTCCCTAAGCAAAGAGTCAATCCCGAACAAATCAAGCGCGAAAATCGGTTTCCGGAAAAGATATTTGGGCGTGTAGCATTTCAGCTGCTTTTTCATGTCAGTACGTGTGTGTTTGCGTTAAAAATTACGATTTTAAAGATGCTAATTGTTTAAGATATTTGTAATGTAAACATATGGTCAATCCAACGACCTCTAGAATTGAAAGTAAACCACTAGGGTTGAAAAGGTTCACAAAGAATGAGTTATTTCTTCTAAAAGTCGAAAATTCATATCAAAATCGTTTCATATCTGGACTCTGGTTTTTCTGATTATGCATTATTTCTTAATAATACACGAAGCCAATAATAAAATGATAGCAGTCTTACACAATTCTGTAACTGTAATACTATAGATCTGGATTACATTAAAAAATATTAGATTTATGTATAATGAGAGGGTATATGTAAAGAAAGAACACGGCTCGATTTTGTATCCACTCCCCAGAAAACTACTCGAAAACCTATTTTCGCACGTGGGAGATGCTTCTGTCAATGGACTGGGTTGATCGAAGATCGCGCTTGGTTTCAGAAATCGCATATTACTTGCCCCTTTATTCCGCTTTGTCGAGCGAAAACTGCATTCGATATCGTGAACCGTTTGGAGGTTGTGAGAGGCATAGTTGGTTAAAATATATTTAAATATCTTTTTAAAATATTCAGTGCAATTTGCATAAAAGGCGGTTTCCGAGATTGTTTGTTAAACCTTAAGCAATATTATAATGTTTCCGCACGCACAGTTCAAGACTTGGCCGTTTGAAGTTGTATCCTGGTATGACAGTATATTTACTTCTTAGCGAATGGTCACGTGAATGTGCGCGTGAGCCAAACTAGTAATCTTACACTTCTTTAAAAACATGCTCGTTAGCCTTAGAAGAGTTACTCGCATGAAATACTGCACTTAACAACCTTGTGAGTCCATATTGCTTTTCTGGTTCTCAAATTTTAATTTTCAAGTGGTTGGATACTCCGCATACATCGTGGGCCACAAGCCACCTTTTTTCAATTTCCCCTCACCAGAGACCTTGACAAGGCAGTCATTTATTTACTTCAGGGGCACTACAGACCTGCGCGCGCATTGCATCACGACCAGGTCTTTTGCATAAAGGGGGTGGGGGTGAAATACTTATTTACCTAGCTAAAAATACCTTATAGCTAGCATGTCAACTATGCACCGATTTAAACGTAGTGACACATGAAGGTCACGAGGTGGACGGAGAGGGGGTCACTGTCATCCAAACGGGAGCTTCGTTACGACTTCAATTTTTTGTACTCGGGCTCCCGATTGGACGAGAATGTCCCCCTCTCCTTACACCTCGTGACTTTCAAGTGCCACAATGTCTATATCAGAGGATAGCCTACATTGAGAAGATGGCTTCGCCATTTCCCCACGCCTATCCCAAAAGCTTAATTTTTAACATACTGTGTTTAAATTCGGGTATTTCGAATTGTTTTTACTCGCGGCCGCACGCGGCCAGCTGGCTGTCAGTGCGACCCGCCCGGCCCGGAGACGCGCGCCGAAGAAGCGGGTGGGGAGGGGGGGGTGAAAAGAAAGGCGCGTGCAGTGACAAGAGCTCATTCGTATGCGCGCGCGCGGCCGTCGCGTCGCCACGCGTCGGGTGGGCGAGGGGGCGTGGGCGATGGCCCACGCCCTCCCGCGGGCGCCGCGGACAAAGCCACGGCCCCGCGCGCGGGAGAGCAGGTGGCGCGGGCAGCTGCGGGCCGCGCGCTCACGTGGTGTGAGGAGATTGGGGAAAGGGGTGGCGGTGACGTGTTGTTTCAGCTGAGGGCGCGAGACGACGAAGACTGAATGCAGCGGACAAGGTTTCGGTTAATACGGGATGGAGGTGCGCTTCAGTGCACTGGACACCTGAACGGTGGGACACTCGAGTGGTTTCGACACGATTAAGTCGGTAGCAGTGTCTTTTTGGGGGGTCAAGGATCACCAATATTCTTAGAGTTTCGTAACTACAATACGTTTACTCAATTGGATTGAAAATTATTCAAGTCTGAGCCAGAACTTTATTTAAAATTCTGAGAAGGGCTATTCTATGGAGCAACGTTTTGTCCAAGCTCGACTGAAGGGCGGTGGATTTTCGAAGAGTGGAAAATCTTTAGTCTGCTTTCACGAAAGGAAAGCCGTTCTGGACATGAAATGGTCCCTGATAAGTGCTACTAGGAACGGTGAATTCCTCAGGTAATATCTCGCCCTAACAAACTCAGGTTCTACTTACAGTTCGATTTCCAAAATGTTTATTATATTTTTACGTAAGGCTGCTTTTGAACTACTAGGGTAGCAGTCACTGTAACATTGGGTGTAACGATAACGGTATATGGACACACAAACTTTTATGTCCCGAGGGGGATTTAAACCCACAACCCATGAAGCTCGAGGCAGCTACGGCTCTTCAGCTTTAACGTGTCTCCGGGCCGGCTTCGATAATATTAACTTATCACATTACACAGCAAAGTGAGGCGCTGAACGTCTAGGATCCAACCTTGCTTGAAAGATTCCCTGTATTCGCTGGAAGAGTAGGCTTTAAAGGAAACCGAGCTCAGAAATACGAGGTACTGGAAGACGGCCGATCCACGTCTCCAGAAACTATCACGAACGAAAACGTAAAAAAATTAAATGAAAGAGTGCTTACCTGTGGAACCGCGCTGTTCCCAAAGATGCCCTTGAGCACAGCGATGCAGCGGCCTACGATGACGTCATCACTGACGTTCTCCATGATGGCGGCGGCCTCCCCAGCCACCAGCGCCAACAGCACGGGCGCGCGGTACAGGTTCCAGAAGAGGAACAGCTCTCCTGCACACGCACACGCGCGCCGCGGGTCGGCAAGTCAGAAACGGCAAAGACAGATTAGCTACTCGCGTTTCACTCATCATGAGGAAACTGAAGGTGAGCGACTAAAGAAAGAAAGCTTCGCCTACGTGTCCGAAGGAAAACATTTAAAATGAAAACGTTGATTACATATTGATATCAACGTTATTCTTCTTTCCAAAAACGGAAAGTTTTCCTTTAAGTAGGCACCATCACAACAATTCGCAAATATGCGAAATGCACTATGTCCCTCTCGTCGCCAAAATCGTAGATGTTTGGCTGATCTACAATCTGTCTCGCCACTAGCCCAGGAGGAGGTCCTATTAAAAAACAACTAACTCTATTGTCATACTCTTTGTCCCGGAAGAATGCCGGGAAAGAATTATCCATCAGCTTTCTACCATGGACGATGCCATTTGATTCTTGGCTGTTCGGAATGAGCCGCGTCTCAGTCGATCGGCCTGACGTTTTGGCCGTCGAGTTGTGGCCTTCTTCAGAGCTATACTGCAGCAGGCCACAATATGAAGGCCACAACACTATGGCCGAAACGTCAGACCGATCGACTGAGTCGCGGCTCATCCCGAAGAGCCAAGAATCAAATCACTCCGGCCGCGGAAGCCTACGAATCCATGGACGATACCGGACGACAGGCGAGAAACGGCATTGTAAATTCCCTCGGAGAGATTCTTCTGACAATATTCTTAAACTATTTTTAAAAAAAATAGAGAATAGAATTTATATAAATTACAAATCTTGAATCAGAATTATTCAAAATGACCACAAAGCGTTTTTATTTCCAGTTTGGTAAATTAAAAACAAAATTGACGAATTATGCTAGCGGAAAATGGAGACAGGTTAATAAGACAGCTTCAGTTTTGATAAGATATTTTTTTACGTGAACGAACTTTTTTGAATGTAATCCTATAGTTTAGTGAACGAACATTAAATGTGTACGAATAGTCTTCTGGGAGTTACAACGAAAGAAGGGCAACTAATTGATTAAAAAATTGTGTTCGCACATTATTTCATTATAAGAAACACTGATCTTTCATTCATAAGCATACACGAACAACTATGGTGAAATCATTAGGAACATTGAAGTGGAATCAGACCTCAAGCAACATTGCAGTTACTTCGTCCCCGCCATCCCCGTCGCAAAACACATCTAAGCTCGGACCGTGAAAAGCGTCGGATTCCAACATATCCGCACCGGGGGAAGAAAAGCAGGCCAGCGGAATAGTGTTACAAATTTATGACTTCTGGGAAGGCCGATCGCGCGGAGGGTGAGAAGGCCGTGCGCGGGCTTTTACGGGCAAAAAAGGCGCGTCGGCCGGAACGCGTCGGCGGCCGCGGGGGCGGGGCGGCAGGGGGGGGAGAGGCGTGCTCGGGGTTGGCAACGCTCCGCGCGTGCAGCCGCCGGCCAGTGCGTCCTGGCGGCGGTTCACGCAGCGGTTCCCTTCGGCCGATGCACCGACGCCACGGTGGCTGTTCTCGCCACCTGGCTTTGAATTGAATTAATGCCTTATTTTACGTGGCGAGACTCGGACCATCAGGCCCGCTCTTCTGTCTGAACACGCAAATTTCGCTACGCTCCTTTCACCAACTAGCGGAGAAAGGAGGTATTTCTTGGGCGAGAAACACGCGATTTGAATTTAGCTCAGAGGCGTCATTTAGGCTTGAGGATCTTTTACATGCAAGTAAATCCACTAACATGGAACAGCCGGCTTTACTTCCCCTCCGAAGGATTTTTTCGCTTAAACATCCACAAATCTTCGATCGGGTTTGAACCCGCAAACTTGGGTATAACAGTCCGATATGCTAACCGTTACACCATCGCCGCGCGCTTTCGGTGGCGCGCAGACCGGCAGAGCACGCGGGCCTCGCAAAACGACTACTTCTGCTTAGTTGAAAGCACTCCATTCTGATGTTTCCGGCTGCGAAATCCGGCTTCTTGCAGTTGACGTAATGTTTCACAATCATTGGTCGTGTTTTCGTACTTTTTCCTATTCTTAACATATTCCAGTAAGGTTTCTGCAATATTAATGAACAATTGGTCGCATTATGCATTAATTAAGAAGTCGAAAAGAAGAATACATAATAAATTCAAAGGAAATCTTACATTTCACGAATCCTTTGCCCGAAATTCATTTCAAGACGACTGTAAAACACCTTCTTATCAGAGGACCTGTACATAACATAGGAAGGGGGATATTGTATTCGAATACTGTCCATTACCTTCATCCACACAGAGAATACATAACTTTTGCATTTTATTGACGTTAATCCGTAAGTCTTCTCGAAATACTGGAGGTCATTTATATTAAATCCATGTCGATATCATCACTGACATGTGAAAATCGACTTACCAGAACTTTTACGAGTTTTTTTAAAATTATTTTAAATCATTCTTCCACGCATGACCACATTTGGGGTTTGCAATACCGCCCACGACGGACGATGTCTCCCTGACGGTCGAGGTACCATTAACAAATGAGCGAGGACACGCAACAAAAGACACGGACGTGTCGTCGACCTGAGTCCTTGCGGCGAACGTACCGCGCTCGTTGGCCGCGGGGGTTTCAACCTCCGCATATTTCGCCGCCTGCCTCCACCCCCCTCCCCTTCCACCCCTTTCCACGGTCTGGCCGTCAACGGCGGTTCGCGCGTTGTATTAGCGGCTCCATTTCGTCTCGCTCTGCACACATCGGGACCCGCCGACGTAATTTGTATTATTGTTCTTCTTTGTGTTGCCGCATTATGAAGATGTCAAAGAGATTCTTTTTTTTAAAATCTGATAAATTAAAAGGAGTTATGGTTATCCTAGTGGAATGCAGTTGGGTTGAACTGAACTGAATCCAAAGACTTCTTTTCAGAGGTAATAACGCTCGATTTTATATTTCCCCTCTATCTGAAACATCGTTTTACGTGATTCTTAGCATTTGTATTCATATTTAATTCCAATTTCTAATAGTACCCGGCGGGGATAGCAAACTTGCTATGAACGTTAGTAGTTACAACAAATGGGAATAATAAAACAAAACCTAATTGATACAAAGTATCAGCAGTAATCAAGATTAAAAGCGTATCAATGTCCAAATCTGCTTGTTTTTTTAATTAGTAGAGGACTGTTTTATTTTTAAAAAACTTCTCAAATCTACTGAATCGTGTCAATTTACTGCTGACAGTCGTTGATGGCCACACCCAGAGAATGACTTCTTGTCTGTCGGTGAGAACGTGTAAACCCCCAGAGGTTTCACATTGTAGCGTCACGGCTTGGCAGCAGCCGAGTGCAAGGTAGAGGGTGGGGAATCTAAGATACGAACAAGAAAGGGAACCTTCGCGACAGGAAATGGTCCGCGGCAGGCAGCGCCAGGGAAAGGCTTTCCACCGCGCGGGGTGGGGAGTAGTGACGTAGGAGGTCGGTGCGTGGACTATAAGAGCGCCGTGGGAGACGGCGCGAGTGGGTAACGATTTTGGTTTCCTGCGTGACCAAAAAACTTTGTCCGCCAGGCCTGGTGGGGAGTGCGAGGGCACGTGGGTGTTCGACGAGTTCGACAGGGTGGATGTGTTCTTCAAACACATTCGGGCAGATCGTCAATTCTGCGGAGCACACCAGGTGCAATCTGCGACGTCGGCCTTTCGAGGTGGTCGTAGGCGTCGCAGCAAGGCGCATGTAGGGAGAGGAGGGCTGGCAGTTGGTAGTCTGGCAAACCGCTTACGAGCTGTAGGGTTGTAAAATTGTAATGTATGTAATAAAACTTGTATATACTCACTCGTGTCTGTTTTTCCTTGTGATGATGATCGCTACACGAGTTTACGACGAGGTACGTTTTTTTAATGGTGGCAGCGGGTAAAAACCACGGGGGTAAGTGCACCATTGTAGTTTTTAATGGTGGAAAGCGGTTAAAACAACCACGGGGGTAAGTGAATTATAGTTTTTAATGTGGCAGGCGGTTAAACAACCACGGGTACGTGAACGATTGTAGTATTAATGGTGGCAGCACGTTAACGGAACGTGCAGCAAAGTCTATGGTGGCAGCAGTTCAAATATGGTAGACATTCCTGTGCTTAGTGCACGAATAGTTCCATCAAGTGGTCGGAGAGTGCGGTAGCGGGCGGGCGTGTGTGAAATCAACGGGAACTGTGCACCCTAGGAAGTCCGAAGACGTAGGGGCTGTAGACTGGTGCGAGCTAGCACGAGGTACGTTTTTAATTATATTGCAAGTCATCTTGGGGCGGAAGGCGCCGACCATCAAGAAGAAGGATCATCTGGAACAGGAAAGGACGAATACAGGCCATCCGAGTCGGGACGGAGAGAAGCTAGGAAAGCTACGCACACACGTCTAAGTGCAGCCATCTGCTTATAGGGAACAGTTTCAGGCATCATGGCTATATGCTGGCGCAGTTTAGTAGAGAGTGCTTTATGCAGCGTTTGCTAGGGAGTTTGGGGGAACGCCAACTTGAAGACGACAGAATTGTAAAGTTGTGTAACATTATATTAAATAGTAGTCAATATGATGAGGAATTCGTTAAGGCGTTTGTGGCAAGGCAACAAAGGAAGCAACTGAAAGAAAGAATAGAGGAATGCAGAAGCCAATTAGACTAGATCGCGAGTTCGAATAGAGAAAACTCCGTATAGCGATGTCAAACGCCGACGGGAAGCGCCGTTCGGGAATGAGGGCGAGGCGCCACACGTACGGTTGAATCACGTTAGACGGGACACTGAAAGTACGTACATTCCACCCAGCTACAGAGTAGAACGTAGCAAATCATCTTTAAATGACCTTCGAAGCAAGCATATCCTGGTCGTCAGGTCTTTGAATGTGCAACCCCTTCCATTAATAGCAACAAAAATGGATGTTATTTTTAAAAAAATGTTCTTTCTTCAATTTAAATTATCAGAACCTGGTTATTACCGACTATAGAAATAATGATTGACAACGTATATTTCCAATAGCCGTAAATATTCCTTCTATTAAAAAAAATTATAATTTTTATTCTTCTGCGATTACATTTTTCTTCCTTTACATCAAACCATAGGGTGCGTTTGCATTTCTTTACAAGTATCTACGTAATCTTCAGGTGCGTAATCATTCTCTAACAATGACTGATGGCAGAGCGCGGCAGGCAACACGACGTTAAGCGAACTGGATAAAACTGACGACAAGAAAATATGGCAGAAGCATTTGAAATTATAATCTAATTATATCGCACTGGCTGTACAAGGTAAAAAAACAAGCATCGGACAATACGCACATACAACTGTACCCGTGGCTGTTCCATTACGTTGTAACCGTCGCATGCCTAGAGCGTCGTCGGGCGTGCAGCGTCGTAAAACGCTGGGCGGTTCTGCGGCGGCGGCAGCGGCAGCGGCGGCGGTGGCGGTGGCGGTGGCGGTGGCAGTGGTGGTGGCGGTGGCGGTGGCAGTGGCGGTGGCATTGGCGGTGGCATTGGCGGTGGCATTGGCGGTGGCGGTAGCGGTGGCAATGAAGGTGGTGGAGGGTGGAGATGGTGGTGGTGGTGGTGGTGGTGAATCGGGTAGTAGATGATGTGACTGGAGTGGAGACGTTAAGAGGTGACAGGAGTGGTGACGAAGGAGGAGGAGACTGGCATTTGCTTCTGCAATCTGATCGAAATCCTGTGGCGTTTGGTTAAAGTTGATGCTGGGCTGTGTGTCTGAAGTAGGTGAGTGGGTAAATGGTGAATGGCAGAAATCCCGAAAGAACATCCTTAAGCAGAGGGTAATTATATTGGTATTGGTATTGGTGCTGTTTGTAGGTGGCGGGTAATCGGTGGAAGCTGGGTGGTGAGCAGCCTGCAGGTGGAAGGCGCGTCATCAGGGCTGACCGTGCTAGCTCAATGGGCGTTGGGCGGTGGAGGTAGATGTCAGTGAATAGTGGGTGGAGAGTGGCGTGGAGCAGAGAGTCGCCCTGCGAGAGCTGACCGTGGCCAGCAGCCGACCGGTTCTAATGCCCGCGTAGCTCCGCGTCGACTGACCATAGCAGTAAAAACGTCACAGCGCCCATGAAACACGAGAAACGCCCCCGTTCAGCCGGCGGCAGCGGTTGCGGTAGGGAGCGCATTAATAACTGGGATGGAACGACATTTCGGTCCGAAAGACGGGGAACGGAAAGCAGTGTCCTTAATATTATTTGACGAAATGTATTTTATCATAGAAGTGTTGCGCTACATTAATTGATTTTCTAGAAATGTTGATAGTATTTTAGCAGGATTTCATTACAATTTTTCCTAATGTGAATTACTGATTCATTCCGAATTAAGTATTACGGTGGCATTAGTATGCCACCACTCATAAATCATTATATACAATTACAAGATGTTAATAATGGAAAGATGCACATATTGCTACCAACAAACAGTTTGGAAATTGGAGATACCTAACAAATATTAACAATGAGCTTCATATAAAATCAAATAGCGATCTGAATACTGCAGCAATCATTCAAGTTATTCAAAATACTGCGAAAGGAATTTCTTCGAATCTACATTAACTTAGAAAACAGCAGAAGAAAGTAAATAACTAAATAAATCCAATTAATAAATAAAATAAATACATTAATCAACGAGAAAAACTCCAGAAGCAGTAGATACTGCTATATTGAATATTACAATAAATATAAACGGACGTAGATATGAAGAGTTCAGACGCTACGAATCAGGCGGAGATCCTCCAATGAATACACCCTACACTGAACCAGGGTACTTCGGAAGAGGGCACCTTAATCCCGCTACACGTGAAGAGCGAGGAAGTGGAGCGGTGAAGCCAGACGACTATCGGGTGCAACGGCGGCTGGCTGGGGTAGTGCAAAAAGCGAAGTGGAAGGGAGAGCGGTGAATCACCCAAGGAGCGTTGGACGTGTTCATCTCTCTCGGTGCCCCAATAGCGCGCGGGCTTTACGTTTGAGAAGAGCGAATGTTCTGAAACGTGCTCGATAAAGAAATCGATCGATAGAGCTCAAAGCGTCTTCCTTTAGCTGGACCCAAGGATGTTTTACATTAATAGCAGTGGCCGAAGTCTGGAACCTCGTCATTTATTTGAATGAAGTAGATCAATTTAACCGATTGAAATGGCGATTTATTTGACAAGATTACTTTTGACAAGCTAATTAATAGAATGTGCACAACGTTCTGAATCACCGCCACGAGTGAAGATATACCATGTTTTGAACAGCAACAACAGAGACTATCTCACTCGTGTCTCGTTTATCCATAGCTGTTAGTAAGACAATACAAAAGAAGCGCTTGACTGACCTCTGCTGGCGGTGGTGCTGCCCACGTGGCCGAAGAGGTTGGCGTTGGGGTCCCAGAAGATGCGCTCGAAGCACAGCACCACCTTGTTGAGGTTGCCGAAGCCCAGGCGCTGGATGGCCGCCACCTTCCAGTCGGGCAGCGGCGGCGAGAACTGCACGGTGTTGGGCGCGCCCGCGGCGCCGGCGCCCGTCGACTGCTTCAGCACGCCCAGCGGCAGCGTGCACAGGCACACGTCCCCTGCGACAAGCGACCACACCACCCGCGCTCGCAACCAAATTCATATTGCAACTGCAGCGCTCGCAAAATGTAACTAATTCCGTTTTCTTATTTTTGAAAATTTGCTACAGCGTGAACAAACACACGTCCCCTGCGACATCAATCACAACGCTTTTAACCAATATCATATTTCCACGACTGCACCTGTAACATTGCACTAAATTCTGCAATCGAATGTCACATTTAAACATTTTCTAGAGCATGCCCAGGCTTCGCTTGCAGCAGAAGGTCACAACAATTGCATTGTCACATCAATGCTTTTACCAATAATCTTATTTCCATGGTTGCAATTGTAGAATTGACAATATACACTAAATTTTCCTATCGATTGTCTCTGACATTTTGAATCGGAACTACTTTGTATCGAAATCGTTCTGACCGGCTTAGGTGGCTCAGGGCATCAACTGATGTCACTGCAGAGCCTCTAACCGGGAGGTCCTGGGGTTCGAGTACCGGCGGTGACAGGATTTTCTCCACTTGCCAGATAGCTAAGAATTCAGGATTCATCTGGAGGAGAATTCTAGTCACTACCCTGAGGAAGCCTGCGAAATGTCGGGCGAAACGTCGGCACCCCAGCCAACGACGCGGCGTCTCCCGGACAGCCGAGAATTCATGAATTCGAGCCGCGGAAGCTTACGTACACAGGAGAATTCTAGCAGTAGTTTTCCAAGGTTTTTCCCTAACAAACAGGCATATCATGCATTACACTACCACACATGCCGGAGACCAGTCAGAACCTTGTCTCTGTATGAGTATGTCTCGGCTGTATGATTATGTCGTTGAGTATGTCTCGGCTGGGGCGGCGCCCCGTTGGTGAACACTATTGGTTGAAAAAAAAACCCTGCTAGACGCTATGAAGGCCGGCGCTAGATCTGACCATTCATCGGGCGAGGATCAGCACGATAAAAAAACGCCCTATACTTACAGGACTAATGATCTTAGCAGTTGACACGCCCTCAAACACTAATCAATCTATCAATCGAAATAGTTCTGCAGATTTTATATAATAGTCTTGCGTCGAAATAAACAGACTCCTCACTCCTGTCGCATTTAGCAACATTAAGGCTCAAGAAAACGTGCACGGAAAATATCAACACCCGTAAGAGCTACATTGAGCCTCGCGTGCGACCTTTAGAGGTGCATGCCCTAAAGTGTATTGTCGATCCGAACGGGAGAACGAGTTCTGTCACAATGGACACACACCATTATACTGAAACTGGTAATCATCTGGAACAATTGCTCGCTATGTATTATGTACTCTGAGCACTCCCCCATTTGTTGAGTTCACATAGTCTGTGTCACATATTTTTCATATTAAAAAAATATCTTCCAACTACTTTTTATGCCTGTATCTATTCCAGAGTTTTACCAACAGTGAACTGAGAATATTTATTCCAGACAGTCTACTGCCTGTTTTATTACTTGAAATGAAATTGTAATAGAATGTTTAAAATAACGACAAAACATATAAAGAAGAATTTACACGTCTTAATTTTCCCACAAACAATTGTGAGTGTATAACTTCGGAACAAAATATGCAAGATATTATCTTCTGTGATATTCTGTTCCAGGCAACCACGCAGCACGAAACCATCATGGTAAATTCTCAGAATTATGGAAAAACTCTCCGATGCCTTTGTGGAATGCAAATATTTCTCAGCACACAGCCCGAGCACCGCTGCTACAAGAACTCTCCTTGTCGGCTCGCCCGTACGTCCCCGTGTGGCCCGCAGCCCAAGAATGCAGGGCTCGGAGTCAGGGCGCCCGGCCTCGACCCCGATCACGCGGCGTGGCGCGGCGCGGCGCTAGACAAATGAGCCAAATAGAGGCTATGCGCACCCAGATCGAATTATTTATCCCAGGCCGCCGCCGCCGCCGGTCTGTGCTGGGGCGAGGCAAGGCGGGGTGGAGTGGAGTGTTTGCGGGTCTGTGCGAAACAGGGCGGGGAAGGGCAAGGAGGAGCAGGGTGTGGAGGGCGGAGCGAATGGGGCGAGGTAGGGCAGGTGGGCGGGGCGGGGTGGAGCGGAAATGGAGGCGCGGGCGGGGCGGGGCGGGTGGGTGGGCGGAGCGGAACGGGGCGGGGTGGCAAGGGCGGGCGGGAACGAGGCGGGGCTTTAGGCGGGGCGAGGCGGGCGAGGCGGGGCGAGGCCGGGGCGAGGGCGAGGCGGGGCGAGGCGGGGGAGGCGGGGCGAGGCGAGGCGAGGCGGAGCGAGGCGGGGCGAGGCCGGGGCGAGGCGGCGAGCGGGGCGAGGCGCCGAGGCGGGCCGAGGCGGGGCGGGGCGAGGCGAAGGCGGGCGAGGCGGGGCGAGGCGGGGAGAGGCGGGGCGAGGCGGGGCGAGGCGGGGCGAGGCGGGGCGAGGCGGGGCGGAGGCCGAGGCGGGCGAGGCGGGGCGAGGCGGGCGAGGCGGGCGAGGCGGGCGAGGAGCGAGGCGGGGCGAGGCGGGGCGAGGCGGGGCGAGAGCGGGGCGGAGCGGGGCGAGGCGGGGCGAGGCGGGGCGAGGCGGGGCGAGGCGGGGCGAGGCGGGGGGGGCGGGGCGAGGCGGGCGAGGCGGGGCGAGGCGGGGGAGGCGGGGTGGGCGAGGCGGGGTGGGGCGAGCGAGCGAGGCGGGGCGGGGCGGGAAGCGGGGAGGGCCCGTGACACGGGACCCCAAGGCAAAAACCTCTTCGCCCGCCGGCCTCGCCTCCGCCGGCCCCCAGCGCAGCAACATTCACAGTCTGCTTGTTTCTGTTTCTTCAGGGGGTCTTTCTCTGCTGTCCGTTTGCTCTTCACCACCACTTATTTCATACGTTCTTGGAAACTTCTTACCTCGCCCCCTCGACGATGGGGAAAAGTGATAGTGGCGATTGCTGCCGGGCTTCATCATTTATTTCTGTCCTTATTCATCTACTCAGACAACCTTCTCAAATATTGTTTCCTAATCTCTCGTATGAATATGAGGCTGGGGTTCCGATGATAGTTTCCTCTTTCTCCTGCGTCTGCAGTTAACTTTTCTTTCTTTTATTACCCTTCCCGTGTTGTGTATCTCTGCAAACATTACTGCCCGTTTATTGCCAGATCATAAAATCACAATTGAATATGGAAAATATATCTCCATCGATGTATTTCAGTTATTGTTGTGAGACAGTTTTCCATTTTTTCTTTCTCATTCTCTCTACCTTCCTCTTTCTACTTCGGACCTCCCATTTGTTTGTCGTGGCTTGCTACTGGGTATATTTGTTTCCTCCTTGGCCTGCTTTCTCCCTTGCTTTCTGTGATGTTCGGTGATTCCCAGTTCACTTCTGTATCCCTAATCACGATTCTCTCAGAATAGTTTGTATTTTTTCCTGATCCACATCACTTTACCTTTCTGTTTTTATATTCGTCATTACATTAACTCACTGGATGTTTGAGCGCACTTCGCATTTCTTCTCATCGAACATTTTCCTGATTTTCTCACAGCTTAGTTCGTTTCGTAAACATTATTAATGAAGTTATTTCGTTTATTTATATTAATACCATTTTTAGTTCTATATTACGTCCAAATCTCCTTTTAAATCTTTCAACACTTCAATTTTTTTTATAATTTTCATTCTTATGAAAGACAATGTCATTTTAATATTTTTCGATCTAACTTCTAATTTGGTCTTCCCACCTAATCTTCATTCTCATCATCATCATTATCGTCATCATTTCCACCATTTCATCACCATTTCCTCCAATCCTGCCTGCGAGTGTGCGGCGTTCCCGAGAGCCGAACCTTAACACGCTGGGCACAGTGCCCATTGTTCCCGCCGCCGCCCTCTCCCCCGCTCAGGAACACGCCCGCCCCGCGGCCGCGTTCTTATAGGCTCGAGTCTATTACACGCCGCCGCGCCGTGTACCCGCCGCGTCGTGCTTTTATTTTCGAAATTTCTCGATTTTTTACCATTTTTCGAAATATATATGAAATATATAATATTCTGAAGGGGGCAAGAGAACCGTGCGTTTTCGCATTAACACACCGCATATCGCGAAGCATTATTCATGTATTTTTGCGACGTTTCTTCCAGCGGTTACACTTATTAAGGACACGGAGGGAAGAAAAATTAAACGGAAAAGTCGTGAATGAATTGCGAATGAATTTTTTGCCCCGATCTGCGGCGTTGCAAGCCCACGCACAACGGACATAAATCGTTAAGAGCAAAAGTCAATAAATTGAACGGATAATTGGAAAACAATGAACGTCGCAGCTCCGCGGACACGTTCGTCACCGCCGGATGGAGCTTATGACAGCGGCACCTGCAGCTGCTGCTGCTGCGACGGCAAAACAGCGGAGGCCCCACTATCCATTTTCAAAACGCTGCCTCTGCCCCTTCCGCGCCTCGAGCCGCCCTCTCCTCGCGCGGAGAGGTGCCGCTTTCCCAGGACAGGTCTCAAGCAGGCCCCCAGACAAGAAACGCCGCCCGGCTGCCGCAAACGGTTCTTGATCCTGACGGATGTAACACCCGCTTGTAAATTCTCGGTACGAAATTTTGCAGTCACGTACTCTCGGAAATGATGGTTCACAGTCTCGTTATTAACGACGCCCTGAAGGTTTTAGGTGCGGGGAGTGGCAGTAAATATGTGCGGACCACTCGTCAATACCTTTCTTCTGAGCTTAGCCGCGACAATGTCGGCGAAACCGACAAAGCCGAATGCTGCAATCACCGGGCAACTTCATGAACACGAAGATGTTCCCCATCGGTAATAAAAATAAGCATTTAAACTTTAATTCCTGAAAAGCCAAGTTGCAATGACACTGAAAATGAGCAACCTCTGAAGAGAAAATACGTAGAAATTCGTAGAAACACACAACAAATACGAATAATACACCGCTACACTGTATTTTACGTGAGCCGTAAGAATTTCGCAGACGGTACAAAAGTAACAAACAGGCGACTAACAAATGTCCACAGGGAGTATTGTATGCGAGTACGTTTGAAAATCATTTGCGCCTTGGCAC